GAATAACTCTATTAGATTGTATTTTTTTATGTGTGTTACCTCAGAACATTTTTCTAGGTAAACCGATTTTGATGATTCTTTTTGTATTTGAAAATGGGTGCTTCTTATGTGATTCCAATACAATTTGATCTAGATCTGACCAGTACTTTTTGAGTTATACCTTAATAATGCGTATTTATTTAACTTCGACTATATTGATGATGTTCTCATTTTATTTATATTGACATCGGTTGTACAATATTTTTAATTTTTACCAGTTATATATAATGAAACTGTATAATGGGATGTATTGTTTGTTGTTGCTGATTTAATGATTTTATTATGATTGACTTTGATATATTAATTATTATAAAAAAAAAATTTCAAAGAAAAAATAAATTTGCACGTCTCTGTTAAGGACTCAGTATGTAATACACGCAAATAAATAAATAAATAATAGGGGATTTGGGTAGTATATTATGGATAGTTTATATAATGTAGACTATTATGGATATAAAAGTCGGTAGTATCTCGGCAGGATGGTCGCGTATTCTTAACGGGGACGTGACCACATGTCCCCTTATTTCTTTTTAACAGGATCGTCCTTTTGTATGTATTCCGCCGTGGTGTTTCCGAAGAAAGCTTCAGGGCCCAAAGTTTTGTAACAACTGCGAGATTTAATCGACGAGGCTAAATTTTTAACCTATAAAACCAACCAGGCGATATCATTGTCTGCAATTATGGTTTATCATGGGATCTTAATACGAACCCCAGCCAAAATTAATATATTATATTATATGTTTAACCCAAAGACTACTGGTTATCATGTCTAGGTCTGTTGTAATTTTCGGAGCCTGATGACACGTAAGAGGATACTCGTATAATTGCAAAAATGGGAGTAGGTTATTGTTTCCGCTGCATATTCTAATGTATGTAACATGATATGATCCAGATTAATTAACCAATTTAGTTATTTTTTATTTCCGATAGAGTGTACTTTTTAATGGTCCGAACCGGTTACATTATCCAATTATTTAATAACTTATTTTTATCTAATTATATAATTACTTATATCTTAGAGAGCTCCCTCAAAAGACGTAGCTGTTGTTAAATCTTTTTTTTTAATGGAATAAGAGTGACAAACGAGCACACAGTCTACCTGATGGTAAGTGGTTGCTGTGGCCCCTAGACATCTACATTTATTCTCACTTAAGAATCAAAATGCAAGATGGAATGCCTCGTTTCCAGTAAAAAGTGTCTCCGGTTCTCTACACTCACCATACGAAATACAGCAACATCATGCTGCTATTTTACGCTGGTATTCTTTGACCCCGGTCGAGCCGGCCCATTCGTGCTACAACCATAATACAGTTGCAGCGTGTCTCTACCACGTAGAAGAGGGCCGTAGAAATCGGCCAGGGGAACATCAACCACTGTTTTAAATATTTTCTACGCCTTTTTATAAACTTTAATACTTGAATACGTTATTATTTACTTATTATTACTTACTTACCAGGTCGTCACTCCATCTAGTGGGGAAATATCCAACACTTTATCTACCGGTACGATACTGACGACCTGGTGAGATATGCGGTAAGTCAATGGATGTAGATGGCTCAGGAGCGTGCTTCGTGGCATTCCATGGGGGATGCCTATGTTCAGCAGTGGACTTTTGAAGGGCTGTAATGATGATGATGATTATGATGATGGTGACGATGACTTAAACATAAACATAAACATAAACACTCACGCCTGTCACCCAGAGGGGTAGGCAGAGATTATGATCTAACAGTGGTAGAGCCAGGCGGCAGCTTTTGCTGTCGCACGGATGGGCCGGCTCGAACCGGGGTGGTACCACGACCTCACAGAATACCAGCGTGAAGTAGAGGTTTACCTCTGCGTTTCGCTTGGTGAGTGCAGGTGGCCGGAGGCCCTTTTTACTGGAAATGAGGCATTCCATCCTAGTCCTCACGGGTGACAACGCATCTATATTTTGATTCGCAAACGAGGATAAATGTAGATGTCTATGGGCCACAGCAACCACTTACCATCAGGTGGACTGTGTGCTCGTTTGTCACCCTATCCTATAAAAAAAAAAAAAATGGACTTCCATTTGGCACGATCCTGACACACCTCTCTCGCTTCCACCACATCCATATACCTACGCATACACGCTCGTCGGTTAAAGGTACTCTTGATTTGGCCCATACCTCTTCCAAATTACAACTAAAAAAGTTAACAGAACGACTGCCAAGCGCAGGAAATCATGGCAAATATCTCCAATATTATGAGGCATTATCTATGGGGATCACCTATGTTCAGCAGTAGACTTTTGAAAAGCTGTAATAAGTCTGTGTGGAAGTCTGCAACATGTTCAAGATCGTCCCCGCTATTACATTAGATTCGATAGACCAAAAATCCTCGCAATAAAACACCGATTCCTACAAAGGATGAATCGCGAGTTTATTGAAATTAAAAAACACCCTAATTTCAATAGAGAAGATGGATAGGTGCTGCCATCTGCTTGGGATCCTATAATTAATAAAATTAAATCCAAACCCAAGTATACCACTGCAAGACTTCAAAATACTTTAAACTCATTCTGCGTAGATCATATCAAAAATTAATATTCAAAAACTGAAGGTAGCTGGGCTAACTATAACATCGGGACGTCAAACACATCAGGCCCCCCCGTGACCATGGGTGTTGTTAGGCACCCGAAACGTTGGGAATTAAAATAAGTAAATTAAACGCGATAAAATCCGTAAATATAGTTTTGTTCAAGGCTGTAACAGTTATTACTTAACGTATCATAATAACTAACGTTAACATATCAATTGCTTGAGAGGAATGCTTTGGAAATAACAAGAAAAATAGAACCTTGTTATGTTTGTTGTATAACACGTGAGTTCCTGTCGACACGGACGGTCGGACAAGCGGACGTAACGTGCAAGACGCATCGTCTATTGATTCAGACCACGCGCTTCCTCGTTGCATGCGCTTGCGCAACCACACCTATTGCACCGATACGTTCATCTGACTTTGCATTGTTGAGGCATTAGCAGTTAGTCACCTTCTCTTTTTACTCATTTCCGTATCAGTAATAGTGAATTTGGTGATCAAAAGTAATCTTTATTTTTAATGAATAATAATGTCCTCCAGACCGAATTTCGGTCACGGCGGCCAGTTTCAACGGAGACTAGCCATCTGCGCAGGACAGGATTATAGTGCCCAAGTGTATGCGCAAGCACAGGTGCACTCTCTATTCCCTCACTCTCATAGTCCGATGGGACGGTAAACCGACACGACCGGAGAGAGATCAGGCGCAGGACCAACGGCTTAACGTGCTTTCCGAGGCACGGGGGTGAGACACCGCCAACTTCCTGACTCCGGGCAGCTACTGAGAATTTCTTGATAGAAAAACTCAATAACTGATTTTTTTGGCCCGACCCGGGATTCGAACCCGGGACCTCATGATCAGCAGTCGCACTACTACGGCCACTAGACCAACGAGGCAATATACAGATATAATGAAGGCCAAGCTTCCTCACCACGACAAAAATAATGTAAACACAATATTAGAAATGAAAAAACTTAACGAAGGGGGTGTTAAGTCAAAAGTAATACTAGATTAATCATTATAGACTGTATATACATTAGAAATGAAAGAGAAATATGAAAAAAGAATGATATCAAAAATCAAGGAAATAAGAGATAAAAAAGCACACCATATCTCAGTTTTAGTTTATTTGAAAAAAGGGTAAAAACAATGTTCTCAATTTATACTAAAATGCCAGGTAGAGCCCATGACATGATAATTTATGCGAAGGTCTTTTTTCCTAAAGTAGAATCTCCCCCTTTTATGGGAGCGGCCCAAGCCAAGGAAAAGTACAGTCTACGTATGCTGGATGCTTGCTCTCACTTCTGAGGGCATTTGGAGCAATTAGCCTTCACGCACTTCACATGTTCTTGAACATTTATTTCTCTCTGTCATATAGGTTTCTTTCACCGGCGAGTACGTGGTAAATCTTTATTGCAATACATAGTTAAACTTCTAGTTTTTCATTTCATTGGCGTCGGTGGGGATCGAATTCGGTTTGTTCGCAATCACTGAATTTTACCGTAAGCGCTTAGCCCATGAGCTACACGGGTTTTTCTAAGTCTAGCTAGACTTTTACGATCTTTTTTTTATAAGATAGGGTGACAAACCAGCACACAGTCCACCTGATGGTAAGTGGTTGCTGTGGCCTATAGACATCTACATCTATCCTCGTTCGCGAATCAAAATGCAGATGCGTTATCACCCGTGAGGACTAAGGTGGAATGCCTCTTTTCCAGTAAAAAGGGTCTCCGGTTCTCTACGCTCACCATACGAAACACAGCAGTGTTAAGCTACTGTTTTACGCTGGTATTCTGTGAGGGCGTGGTCCTTCCCCGGTCGAGCCGACCCATTTGTGCTATAACTATACTACTAATATAGCTGCAGCATGGCTCTACCACGTGTAAAAACCTGATTAAAAAAGAAGATCTGAGCATACAAATGCAAAAATATAGTTTTAGCAACAATGTCTATAAATGGAGGACGCACAAAGACATTCTCAGACAATATTTCATGCGAGATGTGAGCAGCTCGCGGCGGTGCGGCGCGGTGTCGCTCTCGCTCGTGTGCCTTCAACTATACAACGTTACTTGTTTGTATATGTGTGCTTATTTTAAGCTTTTGTTTTATACGCCCGTTTTGTGCCTCTCTTAAGAAACATGTCTCAAGCAAGTATCTTCATGAGAGCAGACTGGAATTATAATTGGAAACCCAGTATTGAGCGTACCATGACATTTTTGTAATTCAAATATTTTTCTCATCCTTTTTTTCACATAATTAATTATAATACGCACATAATTTTTACTTCAGTTAGTTATGCATTTGGAAATGCTAGTAGATACATTATTTTATAAAATTATTTGCAAGGGTTTTGTTGTATATTTCTTGTTGTAATTATGTATTATAATAAAACTAGTTTGTTGGCACTTTATATCACTTTATATATTTATTTTACTATAACAGATATATGCTTTTATAATATATTATAACTATATGTAGAGAAAGGCGTTGAACCTGCTAATGTGTTGACTGAAGAGTGTGTCAAGAAAACAGAAGCGAGAAAAAGAAGACTATTTTGCGTTCGTAATTTAAATTTAATATTTTAAGTTCTTAGTTTAAATATAATATTAAACAGGTTTACTAAGCCATTTTATTTTCTCAGTTCAAAACGTAGAGATTTTATTTCATTAAAAGGAGTATTTATTTCGTAAAAATGTCTGATCTCTGTAATATTGAAATAGTTTATACATGTATTTTGATATAAGATCCTGATTCAGTTTGTGGAAGTGAAAGGGAAACTGGCATGTCGGATATGAGAAGTCCGATTTTTCTATAATAGCAGCTTAATGCTGCTGTGTTTCGTATGGTGAGTGTAGAGAACCGGAGACCCTTTTTACTGGAAACAAGGCATTCCATCAGAGTCCTCACGGCTGACAACGCATCTGCATTTTGATTCGTAATCGAGGATAGATGTAGATGTCTATGGGCCACAGCAACCACTTACCATCAGGTGGACTGTGTGCTCGTTTGTCACCCTTATCCTATAAAAAAAAAATTGTATTCTATTTGTCTTAAAAATGTGAAGAGATCTCCCGGCAATACGAATGCTGGTTGTTACTTACATTTTTAGGTAAAATATATTCTTATTATAAATTTTCGTAAATTTGTGCGCCTATATTGGATGGAAGGCATCACTCTATTGACTTAATTGTTTATGATTAGTAGTTCGTTTACATAATACAGAAGTTCTCTTTTAAAAGTATGGCGATTTGTTCGAGTTTCGGACTAGACGAAAGACGAAGTGCAAAGTGAAGAAAATAAAGCTTGAAGAAGATTTGCTGCATTTTATTAAAGCCCCAATCCTACATCCTATATATAAAATATTTTAATCATTAAATCCAATATCGACTTTAAATACATGCATGCATGGTGCCCGAGACAGGGTAAAATGAAAAAAAACTATTGGTAAATCCAATTATGCATGCCTTAAGCGCGTAAAAAAAATCACGTATAACATGATTATATGTAATTTTTTAAAGTAATTGAAAACAAGTTTTCACTAATAAACAAATTATTATACTTCTAATTTTCTAATAATTTTATGTCAATATTCAATTAAAAATAAGTTTTTTGTAAAATCCAAAAGTGCACAACTCATAATGCTCATGATCATCATATCATCATTCAGGTCACTCCATAAATTCCTAGACGTATTTAAGTATATACATCCTACTTACTTTTAGTACGTAGTACTAATATTTATTCTGTGCTTTTAAAATATTGTAAAAAAAATATCTGATTATTATTATAATCAATGTATGAAATTTGGTTTTTCGAAGCCGCTGCAAACAACCAATACAACATCCACTCACGACAGCGGCTAACACCGAAGTGAGTGAATCAGGCAGTCTATTTAGTAAAATAAATTGTTATAAGGCCGCTAAAACATCGAAAATTTCCGGATTTCTATGGAAAAAAAATAATTATAACTAAAAAAATTAAAATGTCATTTACATTACATGGCTTCCCACATGATAGATGAAGATATTAAAAAATAGATTGAGTTAAACAATTGATATTTTCAAAAGTTATCATGTTTACCACTCCATGCGGACTTGATAAAATCTATACCATAAGCATTTAAAACCACTTTTGTATGTAAAAATAGCAATTAATTAATTTAAAAAATATTAATAAGTTCAACAATCATTTATCTTTCTGACAATATGCTTTTTATTACTTATCTTTACGCACAATCCCTGACGGGGTAGCCAGAGAGAACAGATCGCCAAGTGTCACGGTCCTTACAAACCTCTTTCGCTTCTTTCAGATTCATTATCTTCTTCATGCATGCATGTCTAGGTATCCGAGTACTTTTGACCCTACCCTCTTCGAGCAATTTGCTCACATGGTCTTCGAAAGTTAGTCTCGGTCTACCTCGACACCTTTTAATATTAACTTTCGCGCTATATATTTTCTTCACCATTCGGTCTTCACTCATTCGCTCAACGTACCCAAACCACCGAAGCACGCCCTTATCAATTTTTGTGATAAGGTCATCTTTCAAACCTGCCATATTGCGAATCTCTTCGTTTCGCTTTCGGTCGGCCATGGTAACGCCGCACATTTTACGAAGAGATCGCATCTCCACTGCATTATATATTATACATAACTTACTTTTATGCTTCTTCTGGCATACCCAGGTTTCGCTGCCATATAACAAAGTCGGTACCAACACTGCGTTATGTATTGCAAGGCGTGCACTCTTCGCTACGCCTTGCCCTTTGACTAACGCAGTCAGGGCACCATTGACTTTGTTCCCGGCAGCTACACGCCTGTCCACATCTAAATCACATCTTCCATCCCGGCTAAAAGCACTCCCCAAGTATACAATTTCATTTACCTGTTCTAGACATTCCTGATTTACCCATATTTCACACTTCGTTCTCTCTTCGTCCCTTTCAAATACCATGTATATATAATATGCTTTTTATGTGCATTTATATGTTCAATATGATTGTTAGATACGATTTTATGCGATAAAACGTTGGAATCTTGATTTTTAGGCGCTAGTAGAATATACCTACGCGCTTTGCGCTAAAGGCATGCAATAGTTCATGTCAAGTGGAATATAAATAGATACATGCATTAAACAAAATTGGTCTACCAATTGCGACTTGCAACGTTTTGAGCTATAATGTAATAATTAATATGCGGTATGCAGGCCATATTACAACAAGTCGTTATTACATAATCATATGTACGTATAAGATCATAGATATCTACAGTGTCATAGTTTTCTCATATATCTATTAATAATTTACTTATGATTTTATACATATAATAATGTGATAGTGGTGTAACTAAAATACCAGTTTTGAATTCTAAATGTTGTTAAAAAAAACAATGTTCTATAAAATGTCAAACTTACATCATCAATGGACATGGTGTTGCAACCTTTAAGGGGCAGCGTGTACTGGAGATCACCGCGCGCTGCGACGTACTCCCGCAGGCACGAGGAGTTACTCCCCAGCCCTGCAGGATACACTATCCCGTTGAATGTATCGTAGATACTGCAAAAGAAGTAAACATGTTATTACCCACTAGTCACTTTATTATTATAAATGGGTATTTAGCCATAAGCTAGTGCTGTTTTTACGTGGTAGAGCCATGCTGCAGCTCGACCGAGTAAGAATACTGCTCTCACAGAACACACAGAACCCCAGCGTAAAATAGCAGCTTAATGTCTTTCGTATTGTAAGAGTAGATAACCGGAGACTATTTTTTTTATAAGATAGGGTGACAAACGAGCACACAGTCCACCTGATGGTAAGTGGTTGATGTGGCCCATACACATCTATATCTATCCCCGTTTGCGAATCAAAATGCAGAAGCGTTGTCACCCGTGAGCACTAAAATGGAATGTCTCTTTACCAGTAAAAATGGTCTCCGGTTCTCTACACTCACCATACGAAACACACCAGTGTTAAGCTGCTATTTTACGCTGGTATACCTTGAGAGCGTGGTCCTTCCCCGGTCGAGCCGATCCATTCATGCTACAACTATACTACTAATATAACTCAGAACAAATCATTCCACCTCATTCCTTAGGGATGACAACGTATCTGCATTTTAAATCTTAATAGAGGATAGTTTTAGATATCAGTGGACAATATCATCCACTTACCATCAGATGGACTGTGCACTCGTTTGTCATCCTTATTCTACAAGAAAACTCTTTCACGAAGATGGTGATGATGGTAAGTCACACTGACTTAATTTATCGGAAACGTATTCGCTCAAGTCTTGAATTATGAGTTTGACCTGTTTTTTATCCTTTAAAAATAAGAAATTTATGACTTTACTTCAAATATATTTAAAATATCTCGCATGCCTTTCCAAATCCAGTTTTCCAGTCGAAAAAGGAATAAAAGCACAAAATACCTGTTCTCGTAGGGCTCGGTGTGCGCTAGTGAGATAGTGACGTGCATGTTGTCCCGCTCGCACGCGACGGTGAGTGTATCGAGTGGCGCCAGGGCTCCGGGCCATGGAGTCGTGGTCAGGTCTGTTGCTGTGGCCACTGACGTGGTTACCAGTTCTGTTGACAAGAGAATCAATATGATATAAATGGACAAATGTTATCACACAATTTTTAATGAAATTTGAATGACGATCTCTGTAAAAATAGAATAGAATAAATTACCTTTTTTTAAAAACATAGATTATAAATGATATTTATTTTTAATCTATGTTTTTATTAAATTCATAAAAACCAGCGAATTTTTTTATTATTTACGGGAATAATTTAAAAGATCAAAACGTAAAAGTAAAAGTAAAATCATGAAGGCAGAACACTTCTTAGGTCATTTGTATAATTAATTACCACATAAAGATATTCGTATTGCGTGGGTGAGGCCTAAAGTCCAGTGTACTTAGCTAAACACATTTGTGCATTAATATTATAATAGTGAGTGTTCCCGCCTCTCTGACACTGCCACGTAGGCTATGTGGAATCTTAACATCGGGTATGTGTAAATTAAACTCCCTAATTTTATTGTTATAAACATTTCATTCGAGGCAAATAGTTTGATTCGTCATTTGTAACAGAAACAGAACAGAACAGAAACAGAAACTTTTTTATTTAATATAGATTCAAATAATGCTTATTGAAAGTCACTCTTTTGTTTAATTACCACTGGATCGAAAAAGAACTCTGTCCTGGGAAGAATCAGCAAGAAACCCAGCGGGACTTCTTTTTTCTAAATAACAACATACAATCATGTAATCTCAATTAACCACACAAAACAAATTAGAAATAGGTTGGTAGCGACCACCTCGTTCCCAGGGGTTATTAACATCCATAAATGTAATGCGTAGGGATTGAAATAATTTGCTGTTTTTTCATCCGATTACAATGTAAATGTCTTTAATGCAATAGTGAATAGGCTTTTGTCAAGCGTAGGTATTGTTTTATTTACATCGTATTTAGACAGGGATTTTTATGAGATCACGCTATAGCAAAAGTTGACTGCTATGTGGGCTCCAACGTGAAAAAGCAGCACTAAAATACTGTATTTCTAATGGTGAGTGACAAGAACTGGAGACCATTTACCCTTATAATACTTAATCGAATATAGATGTAAGTGTCTATGGACCATAGCATTTACTTATCATGAGGTTGTGTGCTCGTTTTTAACCCTTAATTCTATAACGAACTTGGTTATAATAGGAAAAAGTTAAAAAAAAAACTTATACATACAAAAATGTATATTGGGTGGTCGTCTGTTTCCTCTTTTTATTCTGGACTCTCATGTATGAGAATAACTGGATACAAAACAAAAACCTTAATAACTTTTTACCACCTGCCAACCGCTTGTTGCTTGAAATTTTCTTTTGGATTGCAATGTCTACAAAAATAAAATACAAACAACCTCGGCTCGCCATAACACAAACGAGTTACGGAATACAATTTTGTTTTAGAGCGACGTAAAATAAATCTTTATGGCACATGAAAAGTTTTAATTACACATAAATAGGTCATTGAAACTTAACTTAAGTTTTAGTTGTTAAAATTTCTGGTTCATTTTAAGGATTTATTGCAAATGTATCTTTCTGTAGAGAAATTCTAAGTGAAATAAGATTTTGAATGAAAATGTTACTTAATGGATTTTTATATAAGACAGCTGACTTGTAAATAAGTCTTAATTTTTTTAAATTTTAGGAATTTTCCTTATAATTTCGAATTATAGAATTAATTATATGCGGCCGGATTTTATTTTGATCTGGTAACCCTATTTCCAAAGATTATTTTCTTCTCTTGTACTTTTCTCCTGGATTTTGATTTCACTATCAACTACCAAAAATTATAAGAATCTATCTTATAATAGTTCTTACCTTTCTCTGAAAATGTACGAAATTAACTTTCAAGATACTGCAAGATACAAGCAGAAGCGTTATTTATACGTGGTACGTATTTATACGTGGCAGAGCCATGCTGCAGCTATATTAGTAGTATAGTTGTAGCACGAATGGGTCGGCTCGACCGGGGTAGGACCACGCTCTCACAGAATACCAGCGTAAAATAGCAGCTTAATGCTGCTGTGTTTCGTATGGTGAGTGTAGAGAACTGGTGACCCTCTTTACTGGAAAAGAGGCATTCCATCTTAGTCCTCAAGGGTGACAACGCATCTGCATTTTGATTCTTTATTAATGATAAATGTAGATATCTATGAGTCACAGCAACCACTTGCTGCCTGGTGGACTGTGTGCTTGTTTGTCACTCTATCCTATAAAAAAATATATCACAATAGGTCTAAATGAGATATATTTAAAAGATTAAACAGACACGGGCTTTAAAGATTTATAAATTACGATTTAATAAATAAAGAAATAGATGCTTTAATAGAACAACACACAGTTCACGTGATGGTTAGTGGGTGCTGTGGCCCATTGACGCCTAAATATATCGTCGATAAGAAATCAAAATGTAGATTCGCTTTTACCTCTGAGGACTAAGATAGAATTATTGGTTACCGGTAAAAAGTGTTTTCGGTTCTCTATACTCACTATAAGAAATAATGCGGTGATTAGACGATTACATACGAGTACTCGTAGCGACTCCTATTGTTTTATAGTGTCATAATATTTTCAAAAGAATATTATACGTGACTATAATTAACTTATCGGTCAAGAACCAAGATGGCGGTGGTTCCGTATAGTATAATCATTGTTCACCGTAAATTTTTTTTGATCGAACTGATATAGCAGACAGACAAACGGCGGAAGTGCAATTACCTATATTTAGCATTGGAACAATAATTGCTGTACGAAAAGAAATTATTTAATCAGATAGCATAAAATATCGCTCTGTTATGACGCGATATGACGCGTAATAAGAATGTTAGAAAGTGCAAAGAATTAAATAAAAAAGTACCTTATGATATATTACATTTAAATGCGGAACTAGAATGATATAACTTCTATTGAGGATTGAAGTTTTTCGCTGAAAACACCGAAGTGATAAAAAGCCGAATGTGTTAAAATCTGACGTAATTGCGGAAATTCCATTCGTAAAGTTGTGCTAATGAATATCTATTTCATATTGTGTTATGTTACTATGTAGGAACTATTTATTAATATAGTATGATATATACATATGGATATAAATTAGTGGCAGTAGTATGTAGTTGGAATATAAGATATAAGATTTTTGTTTGTACATATAAAAACCGTTATATATTATTTTTCTCGCCCCTAAGGATAATTTCTCGTAATTACGCAATTACTAGTTTAGAGCTAGGCAGGTGGACAGAATCGGACTATTGAACACCCTACCCGACGCATTGCATTGGTATTTAAGGTTTGATAGTATTTTAAAAAAAATGCCAGTAATGCTATTAAACATTACTAATATTCCCTTAAATCACTTCTGGTAAGACTAAAATGCTTGTGTTAGAAGTGGTTCACAACAAAGTGGAATGGCGGATTCGAACCCACGACCTTTCGAGTTCGCGGTCCGCGCACTGCCATTAGGCTACTGACGCTTAAATTTATACTAAGTGTATTAAATAATAATTTAATTAAGGTTGATAATATTGAATGTAATATTTAAGTTATAAATAGTTATGGCCATTTATGAATTTACTGAGATTTAATAGTTAACTTGCAAATTGTGTAAAAAAACCTTTTCTACTGTTCCTTATCTCTCCTTCTCGATTTGTTGGTGTTGTAAGTAGTGCTGAGTTAGAGCATAATTAAAGTTTGAAATAACGCCACCGGTAATGATGATGACGATGATGATGAACACATGCAGCGTAACCAGAGTTCATAAAATCTAACAAAGCAATGGTCAATCAAACGGAATAGAATAATATGTTATATCCCCCAATTTGAGAAAGGCCCATTGTTGATGTTTTTTTTATAGGATAGGGTGACAAACGAGCACACAGTCCACCTCATGCTAAGTGGTTGCTGTGACCCATAGACATCCACATCTATCCTCAATAAAGAATCATAAAGCAGATGCGTTGTCACCCGTGAAGACTAATATGGAATGCATCTTTTCCAGTAAAAAGGGTCTCCGGTTCTTCACACTCACCACACGAGACACAGCAGTGTTAAGCTGCTATTTTACGCTGGTATTCTGTGAGATCGTGGTCCTTCCTCAGTCGAGCCGACCCATTAGTGCTACAACTAAACTACTAATATAGCTGCAGCATGGTTCTACCACGTACCACCGTTTGGCCGACGCTTTTCATCATTACCGTCACAGCCTATTAAAGTCCACTGCTGAACATAGGAGTCTCTCATAGATTGTCTCATAGGGGTTATTTGCTATAGTGGTCACGTTTGGCAAGCGGGTTGGCAACCGCAGTTAAATTTTATGGCCGTTATAAAGAAGACGCTGCCGCCCATCCCCTGTTTTGTTTCCTTCTGACTCTTAAGACACCCTCGGGAGGAGATGGGGCTGTGGATATACTTACACCGCCACTACACGGTAATTTACATCGATTAAAGACAAAAAATAGAACAAGAAGTTGAAAACTCAAATATTTTCATTGCCTCTTTATTTAGTACCCTTTTTACTTACTTTTCCATAAGTTTAAATTTTAAGGTACTACAGTGGCATCAAATCACCGTTGCATTATGCAGACAATTTGTAAGCAGTAACTTAAGATAGTATTGCTTTAAGGATGCGCGTGCGCAGCGCAGCGCGGGACCGTTGGGGAAGGGGGGGAGGAGATCATTGACCCCGGTCGCCTATACTGTCTACTAAAACGTCCATCGGAATATTGCTACACTATAGCAGTACTTTTAGAATAGTGCCCGGTAACGCAAAAACGGAGCACAAAAATCGAGACAACAGACTTCATGCAGCAGCCGGTCGAAAAGATTTTTTACAACGAAATTCTTTATCTGACGGTACGAATTTGGCGGATGGGGGCTAGGCGAGAAAAAGTGTTAAGATTGTTCCGTCACGATCTCTTCTGACGTAGTGTAGACGAGACGGCCTTGGCGGCTATAATCGTACTTATTCTTATCTTGCCATGAAAGAAATATAATTTTATTTTAAAATTTTGACGCTTCATTTTAATAGACGCTAGTCATTCATTTATTTTTATTTGAAAATCAATAATATAATACGTTTATCAATAACAAAAGATTATGTATAACGTCCACGACACACCTATGCCGGTAGTTGTTGGGAGAACTGAGCTCGAAGTTATTGATGAGTATGTTTACCTGGCACAAATAGTCAGACTTACCTAAGTCCAACTTCGACCGAGTGGTCAATCGACGGATTCAACTCGGCTGGGCAGCGTTCGGGAAATTACGACACATCTTCTCGTCAGGTCTACCTCAAAACTTGAAAACGAGACTGTAAAAGCAGTGCGCATGGCAACACTGGCAAGTAATGACTTATGGAGCTGAGAAATGGTCCTTCACTGCTGGCCGTATGAGGAAGCTCAAGGTCGCTCTGCGAGCTATGGAGAGTGCTATACTCGGAGTTTCTCTGGGTGATATACTTAGAAATGAGGATATCCGCAGTAGAACCAGAGTGACCGACATAGCACAATGGATTAGTAAGCTGAAGTGGCAATGGGCCGGCCATATAGCTCGAAGAACTGACAACCGGTGGGGAAAAAAGTTTCACGAGTGGCAGCCTCGTACCGGTATTTTTTAAAGGATAGGTTGACAAACGAGCACACAGTCCACCTGATGGTAAGTGCTTGCCGTGGCCCATAGACATCTACATCTATCCTCAATAAAGACTCAAAATGCAGATGCGTTGTCATCCGTGAGGACTAAGATGGAATGATTCTTTTACAGTAGGGTCTCCAGTTCTCTACACGCACCATACGAAACACAGCAGTGTTAAGCTGCTATTTTACGCTGGTATTCTGTGAGAGCGTGGTCCTTGCCCGGTCGAGCCGACCTATTCGTGCTACAACTATATTACTAATATAGCTATACCACGTATAAAATAGGTAGGTGAAGTATAGGGCGAACCCCCCACTAGATGGAGTGACGAACTGGTAAGACACGCAGGAAGTCGATGGATGCAGGTGGCTCCAGACCGTGCTTCGTGGCATTCCTTGCGGGAGGCCTATGGTCAGCAGTGGACTCGTGGAGGGCTGTAATGATGACGATGATTATGATTCATAATAATATACTACGAAAGGAACTTCGTTCCAGGTCCAACCGAGTGCTCCACGACACTCACGCATTTTTAACTCTTCTTTAATGTTACAATCTAAAAAGGTAATTGGAAGTAAAGACTAGAATGAATTGGACTCGAACTTTAGGCCTAGTCAGTTTGAATAGCCTATCAAGTAGAGGATGTCATGAGGGTCATGGTTGAATAGAGGCAAAAAGTTCTCATTACACTCCTAGGGCGTTCGAAATGGCCAAATACCAAAAATTGGGGGGTGGCTCGAACTTTAGGCATAGTCAGTTTGAATAGTCTATCATGTAGAGGATGTAATGGGGGTCATAGTTCAATAGGAGCAAAAAGTTCTCATTACACTTCTAGGGGGTCAAATAGGCCAAAAACCAAAAAAAAATTTAATTCTTATTTCGGCTATAACTCCGTCTCCTTCAGAGGTTCTTGCACAGTCTTTACTTCCTGCATCCCACTTGTTATCCAAAGGAATTACTTTTCTACATTATAACTGTAATTAATTATATATTAGTATTAGAATAATTTTGTAACTTCTAGATTTATTCTAGGACTTGAATGATTTACCTGCGTTCTGTTCATATTCATAAAAGTACTCATATTCCTATAACAATAAGGTTCAAAACCTTTCTAAGCGGGTTATCGAGCGCTTAATCTGCCATGCTGCTTCTGTGCCTAACTTTTCAGTGTAAATTATAGCGATTCGAATCATTAAATGGATCAGCGTGCAATTAATAACAATAATATACTTTGAATACATTGTTTAAGTGCACAGATGTTATATTGACAGCTCAATAGGGACTTAGCTAAGCGTTTGTCTGTGGTAATAAGAGCCGCGAGATCGAATCACGCACAGAGCAGTCTAAAAGAATTATTCCCTCTCTGGATGTTGGTCCATGTGCAATTCATTTAAGTAAAACTGTTTTCTATAAAGGGGAGAAAATCTCATTATTTTTAAACATTTAAATAATTCTAAATTAAAAAAAAATTATTCTATATTTAATATAGAAACATCATACACCTGTTTTCCTCCAATGTCACTCGATCTTGTGATATCAAGCGTCTAATTTCGGTATACAAATACCACACTTAATTTTTAAAGATATGTCATAATATGACGAAAGCTCACTGACGAACGAGAGTTATCTCCATCTCACACTGTTGTGATTGTCCGTCTGGTAACTGTAACTGTCCTCGTATCTCCGACACCGCATTAGTTCCGTCTCCGATCTTATCGCAAAATGTTTCATCGTACCTACCATGTAAAACGCGGAATACGGTATAATAATAAACTGTAAAGAACTAATGTAGTCCAAGAACGAACGAGGCAAAAAATATCCATAAAGATGCCCAAAACTATAAAACGGTTCTTACGATGAAAGTTTCCAATCTTCTATGTTTTTCCAGATAGATTTCCAAGTTTATATGGATATGTATCATCCCTGAGAAAAAAATATTTTTTTCGAAAAATCCGTCGTCCAGGTAATTACTCTTTTAAATAAGTTTAAAGCAGAGGATAACAGAAAGAAAGTTTGAGGTACTGGATAAGTTAGAGTATGGAGACGCTTACTAGCCTTTAGAAGGGAAAAGAAACGTATATCGAACATGTAATGTAGAGTTTCGTAAGTGCAAAGTATGGCAAAGCATTTTTTGAAAAAGGATGAAATTCTATATACTTCTTTTTTACACAAGAGAACGATGTGAAAGATTGGCATAGAAGGAAAGGATTCTTGGGGAGGGAATTGTATCTAAAGCGGTCTTTTAAATAGTCTAAGTATATTCTGTGCCAGATACAGACAACTTAAAAACAGTTTATAATAAATATGTTTTTGAACACTCTCTATGGTATAGAATTAAATGTTCTAATTTTGGCAATAAGCAAATAGTAAGTATTTACTTATTTTAAAATGTAACAGTAACTTAATTATCAAATAAGACCGAATTTTGTTAGCGGTATTAGTAACTCTTTCTTCAAAATATAGCAACGGGTAAAAAAAATTAAAAATATATCGCGATATCATCCATACCATCTGGACGATCGGCGGTCCACCACTGTGCGATTTAGAAGTTTTCTTCCTCGCACAACTTCCTTGGAATTGTGCTTGTGAAATGGAATTGTGGAATCGATTACCACCAGCGATTTTTCCGGACCGATACGACTTAGGGACCTTCAAGAAAAGAGCCTACTCCTTTTTAAATGGACGGCAATGCATCTGCAATTAGCCTGGTGTTGCGGTTGTTCATGGGCGGCGGTAGTCACTTACCATCAGGTGAGCCGCATACTCGTTTGCCTCACCTCCTATAAAGAAATATAAAATACTTGTGAAATGTGCTTACCGGTAGTGACAGGAATTTGTTTAGAACGCGCGGTCGACGCCAGCGCCACTATCAGTAGAATGCTCCACATCTTTCAGTCTGAAACAACGAAAGAAAATTCAATATTGTTGATTACCAACACATAGCAATTATACTTTATAGAATATTATTCTCAATTATATCCTCGACAGTCAAGAATGTTCTCCAACAATCTTAGTCGTTTCTTTGTAACTTAACATAATTAATATGAATATATGAACCCTATAAATATTTATAGTCCCATTTTGTCCTCGCAATAATGTTGTTGTAAACGTATTAGTTGAGTAGTTTTAGCACTCTTTTGTAAATTCCAATCTATTATAGAAATTCTGGACTCGAACCTTGAATATTTGACTGGGTGTAGTTCTAGTCAAGTTTTTTTCTTTTTTTTTCTTTTGTTTAAAAAACGTTACCCCCACACTAGGATTTTCTCCTGTGTCGTGGAGCCAGTTTACAAACATAAATTGCACAAGGACAAACATCCAGACCCGGAACAATTATTTGTAGGCCATACAAATACTTGTTCCGTGCGGGATTCGAACCCGCGGCCCCCAGCGCAACAACTGAGTTGTTTGTACTAATGGTATTGCCATTGTATTTATATTGTATTCATATTTTATATTTTACGGTTTAAGACATTCATTCTTCAAAAATGAGAAATAACAAGGTAAATAAAAATTTGTCGAACGAATGAGTGAATATAATTGGTTGAAAATTATTACTTGGAGGATATTATATTAGGACCATCAATATAAAAAGGAGAGATGTATAAACGATTTTAATCAAACTGCTGGGAAGTACTGGATTACAAGGGCATGGAATATACTTGGCGAAAAATGGAGGAGGCTGTGTTTGCGTACGCAGTACACTCATGCACTGTAATCCTGTCCGGTTTAAAAATATTTAAATTGTAAACCTAATTATTAAAAAAGGTGCAGTTTAATAAGCACAAAGCACACCACACTTAAATTCATTTTGTTAAAGTGTTTTATACTGAGCGTTACATTTAAGGCGATACCTCGACCAAAACTTGCGATAGTGCGTTTTTCAGAGATGATATGAGAAATAAACTACATCTAAAAGCATGTCATCACAGGAGACCGAAGAGCTGGCAGCTACCTCGGACAAAGAATTAGTCTAGCTATTCAAAGGGGGAACGCTGCCAGTATCTTCGGAACCTTGCCTAAAGGGAATCCTTTTTAATAATACATTTTCGTTATTATATTATATTTTTAAGGATTTTAGTTTTAGGTTCATTGTACTAGTATATATTTTATTTTATAAATTGTATAATTAAATTTTGTGTATTAAATGTTCTAAATATTTACAAAGCACATTATTAATGTTCGATATCCTATCATCACATTCCACGTTCTAATTTGTTTTTGTGTTATAAATACATTTAAAATCTACTTTTAAAAAAATGACTAAAATTATTGATTACATGCATCTGTTGCAACAAAAGGCAACGCTCTAATCGTTTGAGGATTACACTAATGGACAGATAATTTAAAAATCTATATTCTTCACGTTTTATTTAATTTTTAAAGTTCGTTTTTCTTTTTTAATTAAAATAATTCCAAAAATTGTGTGAATTCTATGATAAAGCGGCGTACGTATAAAGAGGGAACGAATGCTCAAGGTTATTCGGTCAGGGAAACGCCTTAAATTTTAGTCAATGACTTCGGTATAGACATTTTTTGGAAGATAGAGTGTAAAAGTAAGTTTATTGATAATAGTACGGAAGAAAAAGTAATTCATAAAAATATGGGAAAAATTAAGGTTTTGCTTTACAGAGGTTGGAACCAATAAGGTGATATATTTTGATAAAATGGAAATATCTGCTTTATATTGAGCTGAGGGGGTTCTATGGAAGCCATTTAGACATGAATAAAGATTTTGATGAGTCTGTCCGGTCTAATCTTTGACTTGGTTAAATCAATTGTAGTAAAACTTCGCGAACAGATAGCATTGTCGGGTGTGATCTAGGCTACATTTAATCCGCAAAACTTAGATCTTTTCTTAAAAAAAATAATAAAACAATCGGTATTTCATTACCTTAAATCTAAATAATACCACAATAATTACCAGACAAAGCCGGGGCGGGAATGTAAAGGATATTAATTTACTCTGTCTTTAACTACTATTCTTTCTTTCTGTCTTTAAATACTAGGAAAAAATTGTACATACATATATGTAATATGTATGTACAATTTTTTCCTAGAGTGGTAGCCTCCTAACCCACCAAGCGTGACCTAATGTTCATTGCAATACGTAATACGAGATCTACGTCCCACTGAACGAGTGTTTGACCTTCTCTTATAACCACGATTATACAGTCGATTGTTAAATTAGTAGCTAGTCGGAGTAGTTAAAGTAAAGTAATTTTTAAAAGAATTTCACAAATTGTTATCATTTGGATAAATAAAATAATTTCATCAAGCTAATGATAAGAAAATAAGAAATCGTTAAAAATCAAAATATGTTCCAGGTTTGTTATAATATTAATAAAACTTAATTTGAATACACAATATGTTTTATTATTATTATAACCATAAATAAGGTATGCCTTTTTTTCTTCTGTTGGAAACCAGAATTACCAGCGTGAGTGCATTTGCTTCTCCGTCCTTTCCAGCCTTTTTAGTGGCTTAGTGAGTAAGTGCCAAAAGGAAAACACAATAATAAAAGCAAAAAATACTTTTGGTAAATCCAATTTTGCATGACTCATAATGCTCATATGATCATCATATTCAGGCCAGTCCATAAAGTCCAAGACGTATTTAAGTATAAATATACTTAAATATTATATTTATTATTATTAATATTACTTACTTTTAGTACGTAGTACTATTATTTATTCTGTGCTTTTAAAATATTGTAATAAAAATCTCTGATTATTATAATAATAAAGTTTGTATGAAATTTGGTTTTTCGAATATTTTGTATTTCTACAACGATCTTTTTGAGCCCCTGCAAACAATCGATATAGTATCCACTCACGACGGCGGTTGACACTGAAGTGAGTGAGCGAGGCAGTCTATTTAGTAAAATAAATTATTACAAGGCTACTAAAACACCGAAAATTTCCGGATTCTTACGCCGAAAAAAATTAATTATTGGCTTCCCACATGATAGATGAAGAGATTAAAAAATCATCATCATCATCATTACAGCCCTTCACAAGTCCACTGCTGAACATAGGCCTCCCCCAAAGAATGCCACAAAGCACGGTCCTGAGCCACCTGCATCCATCGACTTCCTGCATGTCTTACCAGGTCGTCACTCCATCTCGTGGGGGGACGCCCTTTAGATTGATTTAAACAATTGATATTTTCAAATTAACGTATTTACCACTCCGGACTTGATAAATCTAAACCATAAGCCACTAAAACCACTTTTTTATGTAAAAATAGCAATTAATCTATTTAAAAAAATATTAATAAGTTCAACAATCATTTATCTTTCTGACAATTTGCTTTTTATATCATTTATATGTTTATGTGATTGTTAGATACGATTATATGCGACAAAAGATTGGTATCTTGATTTTTAGGCGCTAGTAGAACATACCTACGCGCTTTGCGCTTAAAGCTTGAACATAAAGGATGAAATTTGGGACTTTCTTGGGAAAGGTCAGCTGCGGGCTTAAAAGGCGTATAGTATGTGATGCGTGTCAGATAATCGAAAAAACAATTTTGTATCTATAAAAATGTATTATGTATTACCGTTATCGTCACCGTTACAGCCTATCAAAGACCACTGCTGAACATAGGCCACCCCCAAATACTGTCTCATAGGGGGATATTTGCCATAGTTGCCTCGCTTTGCAAGCGGGTTGGCAACCAAAGTTATATATTTTAAGTCGTTACTAGGAAGATGCTGCTGCCAATCTCCTGATTTGTTTCCCTCTGTCGCCTCTTACGACACCCACGGGATGATATGTCATATGACGCAGTGGATATTCTTTCACACTTACAGTATCTCTACATAGTATAAAACAAAGTCACTTCCCGCCGTCTGTTTGCTTAGATCTTTTAAACTACGCTACGGATTTTGATGTGATTTTCGTCAGTAGACAGAATGATTAAACGGCAGGCTTTTATATATTACAGATGCATATATATTATAAAATTCTTCTGTCCGTGTGTATGTGACTGAAATACTCCTAAACGGATGGTCCGGTTATGATTAAACTTTGTGTGTGATTAAGTTGTTTAGAGAATAGTTTAGATTTACAGTTGGACCCGGTAGGTAGCGTTGTTGTCGAGATGCAACCGTGCGAAGCCGGGGCGGACGGCTAGTTAAGTATAAACTGACAGAATGTTGGGTATTTTTATAACATTAATATCAACATTAAACGTAACCTACTGAATTGTAATAAATATGTGAACAAGTGTCGGGCAAATCCGGATCGGATACTGGTTGCGATATGTCAAACCAAACTTAGTTAATGATGCAATGTTTAGGTTAGCCCAGTTGAATGCGTTCAACAAGTGCGACCTACTTCCATTATGGCTATCCACGCCGTATTAAATAATATTAATCAATAATTATATAAGAAAACAGTTGTATTAATAAAACTAAATATATGTTTGTGTTCTTATTTAATTTTTAATATGTTTTTGGTTTCCTTGTATTACATTTAAATCGCATCAATTCATATTATTAACTAAATAAGTCTTATGCACAAGGCGTTTATGTAAATAGAAATTTATCATAACAATTATATATTATGATAAAATTTCTATTTACCTACACCTACATTACGTTTTAACAGAAGTACCAACATTTTAAATTTCACAGTGGTTTTCTTTCTTTTCCATTGCGTTATTACTTACTTATACACCAAAGTTACACCCTATATATTCGTACGTCCCACTTCTTTCATTCCTTTCATTTTTGATAGGGAAATTTTAACTTTTAAAGCAAGAAAGTGTCCACCGCGCTGCCCCTATGCGTGTTGGCGTACTTTACATGACTTCGAAATACTTTTTTCTTAATTTCTCATACATGTAATTTTCCTTACGACGTTTTTAATTTTAATAAATAATAATACTGTT